AAAGTGGTATAAGCTACCAATTGCCCCCCCCCCCCCCCACAGTGTGTGAGATAATTTCAGGCAGTTTAATCAAGTACATACAGTTCACTCAATTAATTCTTACTTACTAAGAAAATAAATAAGACAGAACTTTATCTTATTAAAGTCAATTTAAAAAAGAAAATAGCTGCCTGGAGTTTTTCCCCACAGTGTTCTCAGTAAGCCATAATGCTGCAGGACTTCGATTTATAATACTTGTGTTTGTTTTCTGATGGATTCTTAAATAATCAAAGCCTTATAAACTCCTCCAAGTAGCTCATCGCAACATGCTTGTTGACGTACCTACAAGGTGTGCTCCTGTAATGCTGACTACCAACACTCACTTGGTTCCACCAGCTTGTAGTGGTGGTAAAGGGGTTTGGTGGGATGTGCTCGCTGAGTTTATTATATCTTACTGGTGGAGTTTATCCTTGTCCCGGCTGTCACCCTTGGCTGTCCCTGCCACAGCTGTATCACCCTTCCTTGTTCCGACCACAGCTGTATCACCCTTGCCTGTCCTTGCCATAGCTATATCACCCTTGCCTGTCCCGACCACAGCTATGTCATCCTTGCCTTGTCCCTATCACAGCTGTGTGTTATACAGAATGAGTTTAAATGAAGGAGTATTACCTGATGCTTGGACAAAGAGTGTCATTGTTCCCATCCCCAAACCACACTCAGATAATTATAGACCCATATCTCTAACATCGTGTGTTTGTAAAGTGCTTGAACGTATTGTTCTTAACCGGCTCATGTATCGTATACAGGGGCACCTGTCACCCCAACTGTTTGGATTTATGCCTGGGCTCAGTACACAACACTGTTTTGCTGAGTACTTTGCACATATTGAAGCTTCCCCTCAAACAGTCTTCATCGACCTAGCAGCAGCTTTTGATACAGCAAACAGAGAAATCATACTGGAACAGCTTGCCGAGCTGGGAATACAAGGAAAATTACTGAATTGGATAAAGGGCTATTTGTCTAATCGAACAGCATATGTTTTGTTTAATGGTGTTAAAAGCACAGAGAACAAACACTTTGAACTGGGAACTCCACAAGGAGGGGTCCTCAGCCCCTTGTTGTTCAACGTTCTGATGCATAAACTTATTAAAGATCTTCCAACTAATAATGAAGACACTGTCATTTGTTATGCTGATGATATATGTTTACAGGCTGCCTCCGAGCCAAGAATGCAAGTTCTGCTCGACGCTTTTGCTACTAGAGCTGAGGAATGTGGCCTCCTTATCTCTGTACAGAAAACTCGTGCCCTCATTCCATGTGGTATTCCACCAGCCAATTATCATATAGATGGGTGAGCACTTGAGAACTGCGAGTCTTACAGATACCTTGGTGTCCCCATTAACGACCCTGGGTACCTTTCTTCTCTCAAGAGGAGACTTTGGGAGAGATTAAAGCCCTTGCGGGTCCTTGTTGGTGTCAATCATGGACTTAACGTGAGACTTGCTAAAATGTTTCATGTATTATTTATACACTCTGTGATTGACTACAATGCTCTACATCTCACACTGTATACAGACAAAAAGCTGAAATCTCTTGAAACCTTGCAAAATGAAGCTATGCGTCTCATCCTTGGGGTTCCAAAGTCCACGAGAATAGTTAATATGAGAGCAGAATTTAAATTACCTAATATAAGTGAGAGAATTTTGTCCATTAGCACAGTTTTAGGCGTGAAGGCATTGAGTAGATCTCGGCAATACATGAAGTTTCAAGCTAAACATTCTAATATGCTACTCTCACCTGAGGTCTATAGAAGAAGAGCTAAATCTGATTATGCATTTTGGTTCTACAAGGTAGCCAACTCCAAAATATTAAATATGTACCCAACTCAATTAATGATTAATCAACCAATTACTCCATGGGATAACTGGGATCTATCAATTGATTTTGTAAATGCGCCCAAGAAAGATAGTGTGCACTCTACATTATTAAAACAGCACTGAAAAGCATCACAGAGTACTCAGAGTATGGGTAACGATGTTTATCAGTGCTATACCGACGGCTCTGCAGAAGGGGTACGATGTACCGGATGTGCATGTAATATATTTGAACAATCTTCTCTTTTTTTTTTCGAGATATATACAAGAGTTGTTACATTCTTGTACAGCCACTAGTACGCGTAGCGTTTCGGGCAGGTCCCTGGAATACGACCCCCTGTCGCGAAGAATCGTTTTTTCATCCAAGTACACATTTTACTGTTGCGTTAAACAGAGGCTACAGTTAAGGATTTGCGCCCAGTAAATCCTCCCCGGTCAGGATACGAACCCATGACATAGCGCTCGCGGAACGCCAGGCGAGTGTCTTACCACTATACCACGGAGACTGGTATATAGAGATATACAGCAATGAAGCGCGTCAATGATTGGGCAAGTACAACTCAAACCGAACTTGCAGGCATATACCTTGCCACTGAATTTTTAAAAGACAAAGGCAGTGGACTTATATACTGTGACTCGCAGAGTGCACTCCTGGCATTGAACGCACATAGTAGGACACCCAGAAAATAGTCAGTGATATTCGAAAGAATGTTTTAGCTGCTAAAGAAAACAGATTTGAAATTAAATTCCTATGGATACCATCACATGTTGGCATCTCAAGGCATGACACTGTTGATATGCTTGCTAAGTCAGCCTGCAGAAAACCAGTGGTAGAAATTGATATGGGTGTTTCATTAGCAGTGACAAAGAGAATACTTAAACAAATATCTAATGAAGATCTCACCGACCTAACAAATTCACAAAGACCTGAAAGTTGTAGCATTAAATATTATGATAGATATCGTGAGGAGACATTCACATATGGGGACTAATAGAACAAGAACCCGGCAATGTGATGTTATAGTGGCCAGAATACGCCTGAGATATAGACGTATCTGGCAGCTTTCTCAAAACCCAAATGTCGAGTACACAATGTGTCAACTTTGTGAAAGAGAAAACATGCACTCTCTTGAACATTATATTGTAGAATGTCCCATATTGACCGACTTTCGCCCTCCTGGGCTGAGGTATGTTTAACTCTATAACTATATGAATACTGGAACACTTGATGATATATTGGACTTGTACCAAAAATTTACCATGTAATGTATCAATTATACAATGTATGTATATGATGTAACTATATAACCTGAGCTTGTAAAAGCATCTTAATCACCTTCAGTGGCTAAGTGCTTAATAACACACTAGTTTCTCTATCAGCTATTTTACCCTCTGTTACGGCCCTCTCGGGTCGCAACTGGGTTCTTACTCTGATGTTGTTAGAGGAAGGGTATCCGGCCCCAAGCCAGTAGTGGCTTTCAAGGGATGAGATCCGTAACGCAAGTAACTTAAAGGGGAAGGGAAATAAAGTCAAAAACTTAATATTATATAATAACCGCCACCAATAAATAATATATAAAAGGTTACACAGGGGGAGGGGTATTAACACTATTATTAACAAAGTAGTCTTCTTCTGAAGACCCTGGATCTTCTCGGTGCCAAGTTCTCGGTGCTCTCGTGGCCTCTCGATGAATCCTTCGAAAAGCTGAGTCTACCCCGGCCACAGGCCAGCCAAAACACAGTTCCACTGGGGGCACCGCCGTGGAGGCCGTCAACCACAAGTCCAGCAGACTGCTGGCAGGTTCCGGATCAGCAACGCTGGTCAGGCCACTCCACGAGCGATACTAGGGTAGCGCCCTAGTCAGGAGCCTCGTGTGATACCACAGATCACTCTCCTGTCCACAATACCCCAGTGGTCAATCGTCTCCACCAGTCAGTCCCGGGTACGACAATCCTTCAACTGCCACTTCACTGGCAGGGTAACACCACAGTGTTCCTCCGGGAGGCGACTCACAGCTGCTGCAGCAAAGCACTTGGTGTGGGGACGGCTGCCTTGGGTAGACTGACTCAACTTCCCTTACAGCAGTCCCAGGTCGACTCTGTAAGCAGACACGTCATCAATAACAGGGACACACAAAAGCACCCCACTTACAGGCTCAGACCCAAACGCCCACCTATCCACTCCATAGATGGCATTGTCGTCTGAGCACCACCTCACCAGAGGTCAGCAGCGGCTGTGTTGTGGGCTGAACAGGACTGGAAACTGGCCCTCGTGGCCAGTACACCTCGTCCTCACCAGGTGTCGTCGTCCATTTGGAGGGGGCTTCGGGAGCTGACCCACAGATGGCGCAGTCGTCACTGCTCCGTGCTCGGACGCTGGATTCGGGTCCGTAACACCCTCTCAGAGTAGGAGAGCCATAAATGTATGGGTGTGTGTGTGTATGTGTGTATAAGTATGTATGCGTATTTCTATGTATATATGCACATTCAAGCTTGTTCGCATTTGTGTTGTTCACATGGCCCCACAAAGTGAGGTGATTCGATGAAATATCTATGCCCAAGCTTACCACTAAGTGCTGTCGGGGAGTTGGGGAAATAGCCTCGGCTACCAATGTCTTTTGTACAGTCACGGTTGGTCGAGTGGTTAAAGAACCGGGTACGTCATGGTGCATAGTGCTCTTGTCTGAGTTCGAATCCTTCTGGGGTGTGGAGTTTTTAGTTGCATATTGGCTTGGGGACCATTCAAGGTTGTTCGCATATGTACATGTATGTATGTGTGTGTGTGGATGTATATGTATGTATGTGTATAAGGTATATATGGAAGCTGATCAGAATTACATTTCACCTTTGTAAATGCGCATTAATGACACTATGTAAAAGACACATCGAACACTTTATGTAGGGCAGACGTAACTCTGCGCATCTATGTAATTATGTCTGTAGGTTAGTTTAGCATTTTAAAAGCACTACAATCACCTTCTGTGGTTGATTGTTCAATAAATCCCTGAACTATATGTTTAACAGATATAGGACAGGGATATATTAACCCTGTCCATGGAGGACAGAAGAAAATGTATATATGCTGATTAGCATTGTGAATGTCTGGCCACATTTGTGGTAGAAAATAATAATAGAAGCAAAAAACAGCTATGACAACCTTTCCTTGTCCCTTATCACAGCTTTGTCATCCTTGCCTGTCCCTGCCACAGCTCCGCCATCCTCGCTGGTTCCTGCCACAGCTCCGCCATCCTCGCTGGTTCCTGCCACAGCTCCGCCATCCTCGCTGGTTCCTGCCACAGCTCCGCCATCCTTGCTGGTCCCTGCCACAGCTCCGCCATCCTCGCTGGTTCCTGCCACAGCTCCGCCATCCTTGCCTGTCCCTGCCACAGCTCCGCCATCCTTGCTGGTCCCTGCCACAGCTCCGCCATCCTCGCTGGTTCCTGCCACAGCTCCGCCATCCTTGCTGGTCCCTGCCACAGCTCCGCCATCCTCACTGGTTCCTGCCACAGCTCCGCCATCCTTGCCTGTCCCTGCCACAGCTCCGCCATCCTTGCCTGTCCCTGCCACAGCTCCGCCATCCTTGCTGGCTCCTGCCACAGCTCTGCCATCCTTGCTGGTTCCTGCCACAGCTCCGCCATCCTTGCTGGCTCCTGCCACAGCTTTGCCATCCTTGCTGGTTCCTGCCACAGCTCCGCCATCCTTGCCTGTCCCTGCCACAGCTCCGCCATCCTTGCCTGTCCCTGCCACAGCTCCGCCATCCTCGCTGGTTCCTGCCACAGCTCCGCCATCCTTGTCAGCCGGTAGACATGCTGTTGGTCAAAAATGAGACAAAGCTCTACAGTAAGAGCTCATGACTTACTTTTTTACCAACAGTGGGAACTGCGTGTAGCGGGACACTCGCTTCTTGCCGGGTCGGCGTTCGATCCCCAATGGTGCAAGTGGTTGAACCCGCTCCTTTGCACTCGCAGCCTTTCCAAGTGCAATATATTCACACCTGCTTCATCCTCTTTGCGTTTTAATCAACGGGAGCAGATAAGCATGACTAACTGACGCCATCAGCACTACACACTAACACTTCTCTCCCTGATATTCCAATAAGTTTATCAGTAACGAAAATAATAAAAAAATAATAGTCTATATAAACACAAGATTCTGAAATTGTTATCATAACTAATGAATTTAATATTTCTTCAGCCTCGTATTATTAGTTACATGATCAGTCTAGTTACGGCATGACAGCAAAGGTTCAACACCCCATAACGTGTGACAGCAAAGGTTCAACACCCCATAACGTGTGACAGCAAACGTTCAACACACCATAACGTGTGACAGCAAAGGTTCAACACCCCATAACGTGTGACAGCAAAGGTTCAACACCCCATAACGTGTGACAGCAAAGGTTCAACACCCCATAACGTGTGACAGCAAAGGTTCAACACCCCATAACGTGTGACAGCAAAGGTTCAACACCCCATAACGTGTGACAGCAAAGGTTCAACACCCCATAACGTGTGACAGCAAAGGTTCAACACCCCATAACGTGTGACAGCAAAGGTTCAACACCCCATAACGTGTGACAGCAAAGGTTCAACACACCGTAACGTGTGACAGCAAAGGTTCAACACCCCATAACGTGTGACAGCAAAGGTTCAACACCCCATAACGTGTGACAGCAAAGGTTCAACACCCCATAACGTGTGACAGCAAAGGTTCAACACCCCATAACGTGTGACAGCAAAGGTTCAACACCCCATAACGTGTGACAGCAAAGGTTCAACACCCCATAACGTGTGACAGCAAAGGTTCAACACCCCATAACGTGTGACAGCAAAGGTTCAACACCCCATAACGTGTGACAGCAAAGGTTCAACACCCCATAACGTGTGACAGCAAAGGTTCAACACCCCATAACGTGTGACAGCAAAGGTTCAACACCCCATAACGTGTGACAGCAAAGGTTCAACACCCCATAACGTGTGACAGCAAAGGTTCAACACCCCATAACGTGTGACAGCAAAGGTTCAACACCCCATAACGTGTGACAGCAAAGGTTCAACACCCCATAACGTGTGACAGCAAACGTTCAACACCCCATAACGTGTGACAGCAAAGGTTCAACACCCCATAACGTGTGACAGCAAGCGTTCAACACCCCATAACGTGTGACAGCAAACGTTCAACACCCCATAACGTGTGACAGCAAAGGTTCAACACCCCATAACGTGTGACAGCAAAGGTTCAACACCCCATAACGTGTGACAGCAAGAGTTCAACACCCCATAACGTGTGACAGCAAAGGTTCAACACCCCATAACGTGTGACAGGAAACATTCAACACCCCATAACGTGTGACAGGAAACATTCAACACCCCATAACGTGTGACAGCAAACGTTCAACACCCCATAACGTGTGACAGCAAGAGTTCAACACCCCATAACGTGTGACAGCAAACGTTCAACACCCCATAACGTGTGACAGGAAACATTCAACACCCCATAACGTGTGACAGCAAACATTCAACACCCCATAACGTGTGACAGCAAGAGTTCAACACCCCATAACGTGTGACAGCAAACGTTCAACACCCCATAACGTGTGACAGCAAGAGTTCAACACCCCATAACGTGTGACAGCAAACATTCAACACCCCATAACGTGTGACAGGAAACATTCAACACCCCATAACGTGTGACAGCAAGAGTTCAACACCCCATAACGTGTGACAGCAAACATTCAACACCCCATAACGTGTGACAGCAAGAGTTCAACACCCCATAACGTGTGACAGGAAACATTCAACACCCCATAACGTGTGACAGGAAACATTCAACACCCCATAACGTGTGACAGGAAACATTCAACACCCCATAACGTGTGACAGGAAACATTCAACACCCCATAACGTGTGACAGCAAACATTCAACACCCCATAACGTGTGACAGCAAACATTCAACACCCCATAACGTGTGACAGCAAGAGTTCAACACCCCATAACGTGTGACAGGAAACATTCAACACCCCATAACGTGTGACAGGAAACATTCAACACCCCATAACGTGTGACAGCAAACATTCAACACCCCATAACGTGTGACAGCAAACGTTCAACACCCCATAACGTGTGACAGCAAACATTCAACACCCCATAACGTGTGACAGCAAACGTTCAACACCCCATAACGTGTGACAGCAAGAGTTCAACACCCCATAACGTGTGACAGCAAGAGTTCAACACCCCATAACGTGTGACAGCAAGAGTTCAACACCCCATAACGTGTGACAGCAAGAGTTCAACACCCCATAACGTGTGACAGCAAACATTCAACACCCCGTAACGTGTGACAGCAAACATTCAACACCCCATAACGTGTGACAGCAAGAGTTCAACACCCCAAAACGTGTGACAGCAAGAGTTCAACACCCCATAACGTGTGACAGCAAGAGTTCAACACCCCATAACGTGTGACAGCAAGAGTTCAACACCCCATAACGTGTGACAGCAAGAGTTCAACACCCCATAACGTGTGACAGGAAACATTCAACACACCGTAACGTGTGACAGGAAACATTCAACACACCGTAACGGTGCAATAGTCTACCAGCCATGTCACGGGTTTAGGACGAGAACACATTCCATGCTTATATATTTTCTTGCTCAGCGCCTCGAGCCGCGTCTTGTCAATATGTCAGCTGCTCAACCACTCAACACAGCCACCTTTGACATTTGACTCAAGTCCTGATAAACATCAAATATATCTACAGAGTTTCACAAGTATTATTTGGTCTAAATCTTCTTTGTTTATACTTTGTACTTTTAGTGCCATCATTCACTGCAAGCTGCACAACAAGTGGGAGCGGCAGAGAAAAAGCGAACCAATCCTATGGAATAATCAAGTGTACCTTTACCTTCAAGGAAAAGAAAGTTGTCTCTCAACTGTATAAGATTCTGTTGCCCTTCCACCTGGATTATTGTATCCAGGCTTGGAGACCTCATCTTCGGAAAACATAGCTGCTCTGGAGAAGGTGAAACACCGGGCAGAAAACAGGAGATACTTTTTCACCCATAGGGTTGTAAACCTGTGGAACCGCCTACCCACCGAATTCGTAAACGGCAAAACTCTCCAAGGTTTTAAAATACAGCTGGAAAAGATTTTCAAGGTAAATGGGGGGGACCTATGACAAGCCGCCGGCTTCGTGTCCTCTTCGAGATCACAAGTATTAGAGGACTTCAGGTGAACTCCTCCAATGTGAAGATGTTTATAATCCTCGTCTATGGCTCTCATTCCTCATCGGTTGCTTGAAAGTTCCTCCTGAGAGCTGATCTTTGTCGAGAAAAAGGTCACAATAACGTAGCTGGAAACACGAAAGCCAACACTAACATATGGAGATGTGAGAAGCGATATTTTGGTCTAAAGTGAGTAAAGAATGAGAAAGAAACCATTATGAGGCAAGAGAGGCGAGGAACAGGAGGAAAACCAGCTAAAGACAACTCCCTACAAAACAAAAAAATAATAGGAAAGTAGGGAATGTTTCCTGTGACAGGCATCAATCATCTTCATCAATCTTCCGCGACATTCTACTCGGAAGCTGCAATCATTCCCATATATATACACTTGAGAGGATATGCAGTGACTTGCAATCATTCCCCCAATTATTTCATCTTGGAAAACGACTTTTCCTAATTTGTTGTCATTATTCCTGCCTTGGAATCGAATTCTGGTCCTGTAGCATCGTGAGGCGAATTTGCTGCCTACTACACCAGAGTTTTTTATTTGATTGTTGCCGCCGGAGGCGGCTAGTTTATTGTGCACCCTATACTCATCTTGTGAGCGGTAGCGCAAAAAGCATTACAGAGGGCACAAAAGGTCTTTATCAGACCTTATCTTAGATTATTACATAAACAATTTCATCTATCCTTCACATCTTATAGTTACAATGTCAGCTAGTTACAGAGAAAGTTCTATTTTAAGAGCTATATATTTACAGTAAGTCACTATACATGAATGGTAGGTCTACTCGCTAATACATAATAGTTTGACCAATGAAGATATTACAGAGTCATAGGGTAGCTGCTGTTTATTATTAGTCTTCACAATACACTACTTCTTTCTTAATCTCATATGTCGTTTATCTACTGGAACCGAAATATGGATACAGTGCAAGGATTTCAGGTAATTTATCTATGGTGGTAATAAGATAGGTTGCCATATCATACAGAGTGAGCTTAGATTTATCTCTAAACGACTCAATTTTACTACAGTCCAAGATATAGTGTTCGAGTGTGTGTCCCTGTCTTTGTCCACACACTTTATACTTTACTTCATCTAGATCCCTATACAAGCCGAACTGCCAGAGATACTTGTAGCCAAGTCTTATACGAGCTGTGACAACATCTGTTAGTCTACTGACTTTGTTACTTGCCCCATACACATGTTTTACTTCACACATGTCATTGTGATGAACAATGGACCTGCTAGTTCCAGTTTGCACTGTTCTACTTTCTTCAAATCCATCCAGGAGTTCTCGTCTAATGACACTTTTAAGGGACCTATTTGATAACAATATTTCGTTCAATAGTGTCTTTATTTACTGCAGCCTTAGCAAGGGCGTCAACTTTGTCATGTTCCTGCAAGCCAATGTGAGAAGGAATCCACAACATTTTTATATTTACCCTCTTGCTAAGTATTCTTACATATCTACGTCTAGCTTCCAAGACAAGCACGTTATTACTTGATTGCAAACTGTTTATTGCTCGTAGTGAGGAAAGGAAGTCAGAAATAATTAAGCTGTCTACTTCAGTGTTGTCA